TTGTTACATAATCGTATAGTTATATTGAGAATAAGAGGTTTAAATAGTTTCTTACCCAGCAATATCGCTGCAAGCATATCCTACTCAATGTATTTCCTGTAGCTTAACTTGAAACAGTATCCCAAAACACGGTATTATTTAATCATTTAACCGCATCGTGTAACGGCGTAATTTCGTTAAACTAATTGTGCGATGAAAATAATGGAACTTTCAAAAAGGTGTAATGCGAATGCAAATTATTCCATTTGGAATAATTGGACGAAGCATCTCGCAGTATTGGAAAGTCTTAATTCTTATGTCTCTGCGTAGGTAGCTAATAGGAATGTCCCATATTGCTATGGACGTTGATATGAATAGCGAAGATAGCGAAGATAGCGAAGATAGTGAAGAGAATATCTACGCTTCGACGAGCGAACCTGTGCCCATCTTGGCACCCTCCGCCGATATTTTACCGCGATTAAAGACCTTAGCCGCTCATTTTACCTCCAAATACAATGTGGGGCCATCCTTCTTCGTTCGAGTACCAGGAAGGTATAAATTTCTTTTTGATAATAAATTATCTTTCCTTATAAGCTTTACCAAGTACTTAATATAACATTAATTACACAATGTATTACGTATAATCTAATACGGATTCTATAATTGTCATGCAATTAAATTTATATCTTTATTTTTGAAACGCAGCATTTAAGTTTTATAATTAGCTTCTAAAGATTTTGTAAACTGCTTTAGTAACGATAAATACATTTATGAATATTTCTGTTTTGTTACAGGGTGAATCTGATAGGCGAGCACATCGATTACTGCGGGTATGCCGTCCTTCCAATGGCCATTGAACAAAATATCCTTATCGCGTTTGCGCTAACGAAAGATAATGAGGAGATTCATCTCACCAACGTAGATCCTAAATACAAGGACTTCCGATGCAGTTTCGAGAACGTGGGGTGAGTACAATTTGATAAGAGTCTAACAGTTTATTCAGAGAACAATATTATAGTTTAGAGTACAAGTTTGAAGACTTGTTGATTAACTTTATAATAGTTCGTAAAAACTAAGCGACACATTTAAAGAAACTTTCCTGAGATTACTAAGATCTTGCGATACACAACGTGTCTAATATACAACGCAGTATACCGCACGTGACATATAACATTTCCTCCGCAACGCGTTGTCGTGCTCGCAGTTGTGGTCTTATGCACTTATATAGGCACTTATATAGTCCCCCTAACAATTTAACCCTGCTGATCCCTTACCGCGACCATCTTGGATTATGACGCTGAAGCTATAGAATTATGTGCAATTTATCTTTACAGCGTACGTGCGTTCATATTAGTTGAGATAAAATCCCTTTTCATCTCGCGATTAAATTAATTTGAATGAAAAGCAAGATTGTTATTTCACGATGTGAAAACCGGATAAAAAAATATATAAAAGATGACCTACGGATCCGTGTTACGTAATATATAAGATAAAAAGATGACATCGTGTCCTCATATAACCTGGCTGTCGTTTGAATTAAATTACGTCCGCGCTTTTTTTACTCCCGGTATAATACTGAGGAAGATAATATGAACTTTTTTAATCTCATTCATTATTCAATTTCGCGCAACCACCGGATAGCATATAAAAATTGGTGTCCAAAAATGGACCATTATCGATATTCCGATTTTTCATATTATATGTATGCGTTAATTTTTACATAATAACCCGACAAGAGGGAAAAAAGGCTAAATATCCGAATAAAATATTTAATAAATACTGTAATAGTCTTTCTTGTGATCCTGAGGGTTAAATTTCTATAAACGTAGCATAATCGCATTTCAGATCTTGTATTAGCGATGATAGCGAGAGCGGGTCAGCGTGGTACAAATATTTTCTATGTGGTGTGAAAGAAACAGTGGAGATAATGGACCGAATTCGCCTTCCACCGAGACAGCGTCCAAAGGGAATTCTGGCTGCGGTATGGGGAAACATTATCCCTAATTCTGGCCTTTCCAGTTCTAGCGCGCTGGTCTCGGCCGCGTTCCTTTCGGTCATACATAGTAGTAAGGTGAGCGGTTTAATTATTCATCTTATGCGCAAGACGTTAAATATTATACTTTCTGTCCCATATTACGGAAATAATGTCATAAGCGTGTCATCTAAAAAAATAATTAACAATGTGCTGCGCGCAAATGTCAAAGCCAAAGTTTGCAAATTACTTTTTTACACATTATTGGCTCTAGAGATGTTTCTCACTTTGATGCAAAGTTACCCCGACAATTCCTTCATATAAAATTCTTCAATTAAACTTTTCTTCAGCAGATCTACTATAAACGTAGAAATGATATCGTATTTGTCGATGTCAAGTATCAAGTGTCGAAAGGTATTGTGTTTAGCCGAGTGAATCAAATTACCGATCACTGCTTCGTATAACATTCTTCTGTTAATTCCTCCGCGCACTCGGATATAGATCCTATTATTTCTTTTGACGATGACGATGTTTTTCGTGTTTACTCGAACAGATATTAAAGGCGACATAGCCATTGCGAATCGTTGAGATAGTTTAATATTTTGTATTGTTTTTCATGCGTCATTATCTTATGTATATACCTCTCAGTTTTCTATATAAATCTTATGTCCAGATTTCGACATTTTTCATTTTAAGTTTGTTCTCCGCAAATTCTTTGTTATTTTAATCGGATCATGAATATGCATTATTATCTTTTTTATAAATTATTATCACTATAAATTATAATCGTTACTATAAAAAATATTATTATTCAAGTTCTTTGTGGGGCCCCGTCGCATGCTAAAGCGTCATTTTGCGAACTTTAGTGCACGAGCAGAGAAACACATCGGCACTCAAGGTGGCGGAATGGATCAAACCATCGCTTTTTCTGCAAAAGCAGGTAATCTTGACTTTTATTCATCGTACATTACATATTATAAATCACAAATTACCCGTTACAAAATTTTATAAAGTGTATTTTTAAAAATTAGATCTAAAAAAAAAATCTCATAAATTAATCTATTTAATTAAAGTAATTCGCCAGAACTGTTTGATCGCGTTTAAAACAAGACTCTAGAATCGTGTTAAAAAGCTCTCAATTTCTCATTTTTTCGCGATATTTTCCGTTTGTAAAGGTAAGGCCAAGTTGATAGAGTTTCTCTCGAATAACGGGGAACTTTCCCACCTCGCATCTGACGTAACATTGACAGAAGGCGCAGTGTTCGTAATAGCGCATAGTCAAGCGTATCACAACAAAGCCTCGACCGCCGACTACAATCTCAGAGTTGCGGAATGTCGATTAGCCGCACAGGTATTTATATTTTTATGTATGTATATATTAATGCCGCATTTTTCTCCCAAGAAAAGGAATTTTCGTTGCAACTATTATTATATATTTCCAAATGTCAATTTAGAATATAATTAACGTGATTATAAGACCCGATATAATTTACCTTTTCGGTTCAAATGTCGCGAAGTTCTTTAAATATCCATAAAAAAAA